CATTGGGACTTCACATATTCCAGTTTTTCACTCATGGTAAGTGGCTCACCCACCCTGGAGTCCCCTCCTCTTGAAAAATCCCGCTTTCTGGCTCGCCATACGTTTTTGGCACGTTTCGATGCTTTGGCAGCCGCTGCCCTCTATCCGTCTGCGTCACAGGGTTTCGTAACAGGACCGCCACCAAAAGTTCAAGATGTCACGTAACCCTCAAAGAGGTCGTCCAACGCAGAATTCGCGGTCAGTCCTGATGTTATCATTTATTTACACAAGGTGAAGAATTTCGTCATGTCCATCCACAAAACGCACAGCTGCTGTTCTGATAATGGCTCGTTAATTCATGCTGTAAGGAGTGATCTCGCCGTGAACTGAAGTCCATAAAAATTTAGCGGGACTGATATCGTAGGTATTTCGCAACTACTGGGGTGCCCTCATGCTGAACAGGCCCTGGTTATGCTATGGACCGGCCTATTTGAATTACAAGCTGCTGTATAGACTACCATTTCGGCACGAACTTCCAAGGGCATGTCTGGAAATGCCGGTTACAAGCGGTCAGGCGACAAAAAAAGCGTAAGATGAGAGTCCAAGAAGAAGTTTAAATAGAGAACAATGCCCGGCTCTGAAGACTATCAGAACAAAGCTTCTCTTCGATCGTTTGAGTGTTGATTCTCGCTTCCAGTTTTCGGCCATTCCCAGTAGTCAGTTTAGCTGGGCAGATAAATCAGGCCTTTTATCATTTGAGTCCAGTTGGGAGTGTAGGTATAGGGACTCCTATTCCGAAGGATCCAACCGCCGTGGCGGGACTTATAAAATTTTCAATTTCAACCATGTACAAAGCAGTGGTCTTATCCTTCCAGATGGTTTCAGTTCGCCGTCCTGTCCCTGGAGGGTAACGGGCGGGAGCCAGGTCAGTATTTGATCCCGGACCGTCCGCGTGGTAAGCGTGCATGTGCCACTGCACCACCTCAGCCTTCTTTTTATTATCGATGTTGTATAAAATGCACTTCAACCTCGTCCTGAGCCGAGCAGGAGCCATGGATTCGTTTACCCATACCCAAGAATTAAGTTGTGCAATGCTCTGAATCAGCATCGAAAAGTTGTGCAGTCTTATCAGTGATACCGCCCTCGTCGTTGACTCACAATGTAGACTTTATGGCGATAACGACACGAATATAAGCGCCGAGAAAACCTTTGGCAGTCTTCAATCAATAGCACTCATCATTGGAAATATCATTTTTCTGATATTGTCCGTCACCTTTATTATTCTGTTCGCTACAAAACACGGTAAGATTTTAGCTTGGGAACGAAACTGCTTGGGTGACGCTTCACGAGACTTGCGCTTACATGCAATACTCTTATATTATTTGTAAAGTTGTCTTGCTGCGCTACGTTACGGTTAAATCCGTAAAGCTGAGTGCAGCGTGCAGCTCTGGTGATATAACGGACAGTGCACTCGTCCGAAAAGCTTAGGGTACGGGTTCAAGTCCAGCATGGGTTAGGAATTTCGCTCATATCTCAGGGCTCTGGTGATAACTCTTAAGCCGCTTTTTATTACTCTGCTTTTGTACTCCTCTCTTTCATCTGTTCTTGCTCTCTCTTTTCGAGAAAATCGCCGACAAGGCTCATCCTTTGAATGATTGAAAAACATTTTTCTTAAACTATCCAACAACGTTTATCCTAGAGTTACCCTACCTGTGAAGTACTAGAAGCCCCCTCATTTTAGCTGAATATTTCAAAATTCCCCTCAAAAAATGAAGAAAAGGTTTAATATTTGTTTATGGCGCACACCATTGGTGGCATCAGGAAGTGACGAGGTCCATGGCCATTCACTCAGAATACTGTACCCAAATCTTAAACCCTCGCGACTGAAAGAACCCCCAGGCTTGTGGCGTACGGCCGAGTCATGAAAAACTAATCGCGAACCATAGCGGCATTGTCTGAGCGGCAGGAACCCTACCGTGTTCCATTACCAAAGCGACCGCCTTTTCGAGGCACTAGAATTCTGCTTACGAGGGAATCAACCGTGGAAGCTACGCATTCGCTCCAAGCAGTCATTATCCTTGCGCAATGAAGTGGCATGAGAGCTCATCCAAGATTCCTTCCTTGAAAACTAATCGCAATATTGGTATTGGTGACAACTGGTAACGGCAATGAAGCCCGCAACAGTTGATGAGTAAGGTTGCCCTGACCGCGCTCGATCCACGCTCTTCCAGATACTCTCTCGTTTGCAGGGAAAATGACTCTGCGCACTGTAGTACTTTTTAAACTCAGTGGTGATGAATATCTTCACATTCTTTCGAACGTGAAGCTAGTGAAGCTGGTACAACTTGAGAGCGCGAATGAAAAGTTCAAGAATCTTTCAAAGCGTTTCTTCTATGAATCCAATCACAATTCGTGAGGGTGATGTTTGAAGTAGTGCGATATCCCTCGAGATCAGCTACGCCGGTGCGAGGGAGTTTACTGCGAATCATTCGCCTTTGGTGACGAGAAATTTGCCCTCGGAGACAAAACCTAATTCAGACAGATAAAAAACTAAGCACACTACCCAGAGGTTTTGCATGACGCTTAAATCCTATATTCAGACTCGTCATCAGCATTCTTCCTCACAACGCCAGGATCAACCGCATGCAGCATTCTTCCTCACAACGCCAGGACTCAACCTTTACCGATATCAATGCATCTAACAAATGACGGGATCAGAAATTCAGGTTAGCTTTTAAAGCGCCCACAGTTCGCGCACCGCCAAATTGCGGGAAGCGGAACTCAGCATAGGCACAAAAAGCCATCCTGACTCAAAGTGCTACTATATAACCTGACCATTATGCGGTAGGAACAGCTGAGAAACGAAAACAGCCTCTAGCAGATCAGTAAAAGTACCTAGTCCGATGTTATAGATAAAGATAACATAGTGGCTACTAGCTAGTAGCTGGCAGCCGGTGAGGGTCGGCATGGGCCTAAGGGGTGTCCATGGGCCTAATTAGCCAGCTTCTAGCGGTAGGCAAAATGTTCTCTTAACTATTCGCACCTTAGTTAGTTTTCTTTGCCGTATTTTCACATTTTGAATGTATGCGCAGCCTTCAAAAAAGGTCGCTCTTCCGCGGTCGTTGCGACACATCTGAGAGTCATTCTGAGCCTTATTTTTTCGCCAGAATGTGCTTTAAGAAATTTTTACTATATAACCGAAATCATTCCAACTTGGTTAAACTGGAGATATCTCTCTAAACTAGAATGTTGTTTTAGCGCTAAATAGCATAACCTAACATAACGAATGTAGCGTTCTGGTATGCGTAGTCTTGCCAGTTCTAAGCTCGAGGGTGAGCTCATAAGAATCTTGGATTTCGATTTTTTGATTTGCCGCCTACTTTTCCTACGAACCTCATTCTACAGTTCCACCCGCCTCGGTCAAGTGTTCTCCTTACGTGGCTCACAACAACCGAAGTGATGTTCAATACTGATTACATCCGCCTACCAATGCGCGCGATTGGCCGCCGTCTTTCCTCAAGTACTCCGGTCAGTTTCTGAAAAAAGATTTTGTTATTAAATTCGAATATGCTGTCTAAGACGAGGTCCGGAGTGCCATGCATTCAACTTCTGCCCACGACTAATGGTGAGCATATTGGAAAGAGATGCTTTCCTTTACTCTTGTATCTATAGGAATTTAGCCATACGCTAAAAAACCTGTGTTTTACTCTTTGCAGACAATGAAAATATCTCAAATCTGGTTGTGAAGAAAGCATCTCTAATCAGCTCTCATAAAATCCAGGATGGCTCATATTTCGCTCCTATAATCTGTCCGGTGGCTGAAGGCTGTGCTGAATCGGTACGGGCAGAGTGGGAAGTATTCCGGGAAATGGGAGGCGCGTGGCGTCATGCTCTCTCCTCTTTGGATATGGAGTGATATTGTAGGTATGTTTCGCCTTATCACGCTAAGGCGCCTAAGCCAGACAGAGCTCGAAAGAACAGAGTGAAAGAGAATGACCAACTTACCGATGACCCCATTGCTTTCATTAGCCTTTAAGGTGGCCAAAGCGATTTGATTTTCTGGGCCGGTGATTCGATCCGCAGTACCGAAATTGCCGGGGAACACCTCTTTATTACGAAACTGATTTCAGCGCTCGCTTTTCCACGACTCATGCTAAGATTTCATCAGAAACAATTGGCCAATGTTATCGCTTGTAGCATTCTCATCATTTCGAGTCTTTTCTTAGTGTAGTGTTTGTTTAGGCGGCTCAAGCTGATAGGCGTATGAGCGGTTACAAACTGAGTCCCTTATCTCAATCCCCGCGGCTTAGTAACTGATAAGAGGCAGCCTACACTCATTTCTGCGGAATTCTTAGTTTCGAAAGCTCGAAAAAATGAACCACGGCGGAAATTTCTTAAGCTGACAGGGTGCAACATGGCACAGAAACCCTCAGCTAACTAAGGGGTCCAGGGTCCACTTTTTTGCAAGTATTTCAGTATTCTTTTAAAAATGGTATCGATTACATTCCAGGAGGCTTGCAAGCATTGGAGGTCTGTAACGCGTTCAAGCCAATCTCACTTAGCACTACTGCAGTACCTGCTCCACCGACAATAGCTCCAACGACATGTAAGTTTTGAAAGGATCTCATTTAGACTAAAATATGGGCTCTTGCCGGTGTTCTAGAAACAGTAAGTAAGGAGAGAGGTGCTTGAAAGAGATAAGTGGATACGACAACGTGGGAGGGCATAAAGGGTGAATACCACTGGTAAAAAGAAGAGCTAAGAAAAACATGCTATTGTGAGCACAGCAAGTCCTGCGGTTAGGGGAAATTTCTGCAAAATATTCCCCCAGCCGCCTTGAAATTTCCTCCTCTGGCACGACCCTTTCCCTTTTCCTTCCCTTTCTAGCCAGCATCTTCCCTTCCTCCTCAGGTTCCTAGTTCCTTCAGCTTTCCGTCGAGCGGGGAGGAGGGGAGTGGGCATAGCGTTCATGAAACAGGAGGAACGAAGACAAGTCAACAATCGGGAATATTTTCCTCGAAAACGAACACGGCAACCAAAGACGGCCCCTCTCGGGATTCTCAACCGTACCACGTGCCCTGATTGTGAGACGGCAAGCAGAAGATATTTTGTCGTCTAGCCGTGCTACATCGCCTCCTAACTCGCCTCCCCCAAGTTGGCCGCTCTAGCCACCTTCCTTCAAACGTCCGCGCTCTGGCTCCTGCAGCAGAGAGCCAGATCACGCTCCCTGGAATTCGAGAGGGAAATAGGTATCGTGGAGACTAGTTCGCCTCCTACCTCAGAGAATCAACGAGTAGAGTAAATGTACCATTCCAAGGGTTTCGATCGCTTGAGGCTTTTTTCTCCACAGCTGCTGCGCAGCATCTCTGCATCCCTTCTGAACGGTCATCAAGTCAGCGTACTCACTGCCATCAAATTTCTAACGATTTCAGATTGCAACGGAGTGCTGAAAAGAGATATCGTACTGCTTGTGGACACCCTCGCTTCACCTGCGAATGATGACAAGAGTGCTGCGCTCGAGAGACTCAGAGACGCCGTATGCTTTTACTCCACACACGATTCGTAGACTGTGCTTTCCCTTATTTTCACATTGATGTGCTTTCCAGCTTGCCACTGGTATCCCTTTCGGAACGGGTGTTCGTATAGCAATCGTCACCTTGGACAGTGCTGGTGAGCAATCAGCGATTTTGTCTCCTGATGCAACGGCATTCAACGCAGCATGGAACGCGAAGGTGAGTAGAAGAGTCACTCGTTCTCAGCGGGGAGAAATTCCTGCAGAGAGAGAACATTCCATGGTTCCTGTAATATTTCGTATTTCAGCTTGTCTCCCAGTCATTCACAGCTACAGCGACCTCCATCGACGTCCAACCTGCTTACGGAGTCGTAGCGTCAATGCTCACACAGCAAACTCCTTTGGAAGCCATTCTCGTGTCTGATCATCCTGTGTGAGTCCAAAAAATACCGTAGCACTAGATATTTCAGAGAAGGGATTTTTAACTCTGCTGCAGGCCATGTGATGGCTCCGTCATCGTACAGGGCTAGACCGTCTGAGCCAGACAGGATGCTCTGCCTGCCATAGTGATTTGGGTGAAGGGTGGGAAACTCAGAGCGGTGCAGTGCAAGCAGCGCCTGCCGCTGCAATGCACGGCAAAATGGAGATCAATCGTCGCCGCCGCGCGCGGAAGCGTAGTCTGTGCGATCGCCACGGCTTCGATTTCCTAGACAGTGGGGATTCCTAGCTAAGGGGGGGGGGGGTGTTCGGTCACCTCAAGGGGGAGGCGGCAGTTGTCTTCGCGAGAAATGTTTTTGTTGACTTTTCTTGGTTTTCCCTTTTCACATGGAATGAAAATATCAATGCCCCTACCCCCCCCCCCCCTCTCCCTCGCCATCCTCCTACCATGCTCCTGAATTTTTCCGTCGGGGA